CCAAATACATGTATGGTCCTAGTGTGAAAATTTTAAAGTTCAGGAGGGTTTTGTCAAACACTACAAAGTTGATTGATATTTAATGTTATTGGAAAAGTTCAAGGAGAATATCTGCAATATCCCCGAAGTTTAGGGGGTTTTCTCAAATTAGAATTGTTCAGCGAGGTTATTAGCAACACCCCCTAAAAGTTCAAGGGGGTTTCTGAAATAAATGCATATTATTACTTTTTTTTTTGGTTTGTTTATCGTCGTAAATAAATAGAGAGAGATATATCTAAGATGATGGAACTAATGGCATTCTATCCGCTCTTAGTTAAGTAAAGAGGGCGGATTACATCTTAAACTTTCGGGGGAAATAACATTAATGGGTAAATTTAACAATACGCGCCTGAAGTTTGGGAGGTCTACCCTATTTCTATCAAGGACAATGCAACTGAATATTGTCTATCAATCTTCGATCTAAATCACTGTTCTTGTGATAATTTAACTTTCAATTTTTATTTATATAATCTGTCAGCTGCATTTTGTGAAATGCACAAAGTTTTATGCTTGTTTAATTTACTGACGTTGTACTAAATTGATGCGCTAGTCTTTTCAAATATCGTGCAACATAACATATTTTAATTGCCCCGTATTTTTTGGACAGATGAATTATCCTATGAAGATGTGAGAAGAATATACGGAAATTCCAAAGAATTAATGCAGTCAGTCAATGAAATAACTTCAAAGAACTATTTTGGATCTTCAATCATGGGTGACCTCCATAGTAGAATTCAAGCAGGTAGAGAAGTTGCTTCTTGCAGCTACGAGCTTAATACGTGTTGGGGCAAAGAGGTAAGCTTTATGCACTTATTCTCATAACACGGTTCCGTTTGGACACCATGATGTTTTACTTGTTTTCATGGTGTTTTTACAAAAACAAAACACCATGTGTTTGGAAACCATGGTGTTTTTTGAGCTAAATCATCTTCAAACCAAAAACACAAAACTTATTTCAAAACACAACACTTATTTTAAAACACCTTTTAGGTGTTGTAAGTTTTGTGTTTTGGTTTTGAGTTTGAGAAAGTGTTAATATAATATCTAACATAATATATTAAATATAATTAATATAGAGTTATTATCAACATGCTTATTATATTATACTATACTATATTATATTATAGTTAATTTAATATATTAGTAATATTTATTAAATAATATAAAAGTATAAATATATAATAAATAAAATATCTTATAAAATAATATAATAATATATTAAATACCAATAGCTAATATATTAATAATGTATTATATAATAAATAAATAATAATAAAATATAAATAAAGTAATAAAAAATAATAAAAGTTATTGATAATAACTAACAAATGTTAATGTAAAAATAATATATTCATAATATAATAATATTTATTAATATCATAAATACTAATATATTATTAAAGTACTACTAATAAACTCTAACATATTAAAAACTATAATATATTATATAATATTATAATATTTATAATATATTAATTTATTAATAAAATACTAGTAATAACATAATATTAACATTATTAATAATATTTTATTATATTAATAATATTATAATATTATATTAATAATAAAACAATATTATTATAAAACAATTAATATAATATACAACAATAACAAATTGATATACCAAAATAATTAAATATATAATTATTTGAAAATAATATGTAATCATTATAATATAATATAACTCATTAAAGTATAATATAATATTATAATACATTATACAATATTATATTGCATTACATTTAATACTTATAATACTATAATAATGTAAACTAAATATTATAACATTTTATTTACAATATATATTTTATTATAATTAATATATAATATATTAATAATATATTTAATACTAATGTTTATAATGGGTCAAACTAGTGTTGACAAAAAATACTTAACATGGTGTTTTGAAAAAATTTTAAGGGAAAACACAACACCATAATGTTTTTTTACAAAAACATAACAAGGAAAACACCATGATATCCAAACGAAACCGTAGTAATCCATATTCATTTGTGAAAGTATTCTTAGGCTGTGTTTGGCAAGCACAGTCATGGTCTCATTTAGGGAAAATTTATATGTAGTAAAAATTGTGCTGGCATTGACCTTGTTTTCTTTTAGGTCAAGAAAGGATCAAGGTCAAGATAAGATTGTGTCAGGATCAATGCTAATTTAGTTTCTGAATAGCTGTTAAATTTGGTGTTAGTTTCACGTTGAGATTGTTATAGGATATAAAATAGTAACCCTAACCATATTTTGTGAGTTTTTGATGCAGTGGCGGAATACTTTGACATTTTATCTGAACAACACAAGTTTAAGTCACACTGACTACGAATTTAATACCAATTTTAAAAGATTTTGATATCACTACGTGTTTGCGTCAAAAGTTGGTCTCGTTGTGGAATTCATTATATCTTCGATCGATTACAATAAATTCAAAAAAAGTTGGTCTCGTTGTGGAATTCATTATATCTTCGATCGATTACAATAAATTCAAAAGAGATAGCCTTTTTATAAGACTTCTTTTACACAACAAAGACAACAAATTCAAAAGAGATAGCCTTTTTATAAGACTTCTTTTACACAACAAAAGGAAAATTATAACTTTTTAGAAACAAACGTAGGATCGTTGTTTGGATCGCTACTTGCGTGGGATCTTTGCCTGTGCCGGGGGTGTGTTAGCCCGTGGACCACCAAATCACAGATTCTGATTGAATCGTGAGGGGTTTAATGATTCTTCCTTCGTTTATCGAAGTAGGAATTTGAAGTGAAGATCTTATCAAAGTAAGACGATCACTCTTCTTAAGATCAAGTCAAAGCTCGAATCTCAAGGAATGGCCGGAAGCTCAGGAACTCTGCTCTCTCTGCTCCAAACTGCTCAAAAATGATTAGTCCCCCCAAAAATCAACCTCAGGGGGGTATTTATAACCCCTAGGAACAGTTAGAAGAAAATGAGCTCGCGAGACAGCATTTGTTGTCTCGGCTTTATGATGTTAGTGGGTCTCCTTTCAGTTTGTAACCATCTCCCCACGTTTATGGTTGATCTCAAGTAGTTATGAAGCCAAAAAACCGTCAAAAAACGTGTTGTAACCAACTCTATGGCCGAGACAGTGAAGTCTGTCTCGCACTTCCGAGACAGTTTGTACTATCTCGGGTATTTGGCTCTAACTCCCTCGTCTGATATCGGAATGAGATGATCCAAGATGCGTTGGAAAGCTGATGAAGAGATCTACAACTTTTGTCTTTTACCTTTTTTAGATTTGGTGCGAGACAGTCATGACTGTCTCGCATTCCGAGACAGTGAAGTCTGTCTCGCACTTCCGAGACAGTTTGTGTTATCTCAGGTATTTTAGCTCTAACTCCCTCGTACGATCTCGGAATGAGATGATCCAAGATGCGTTGGAAAGATGACGAAGAGATATACAATTTTTGTTTTTTGACATTCTTCAGATTTGGTGCGAGACAGTCGTGACTGTCTCGCATTCCGAGACAGTGAAGGCTGTCTCGCACTTCCGAGACAGTTTGTGTTGTCTCGGGTATTTTGGCTCTAACTCCCTCGTTCGATCTCGGAATGAGATGATCCAAGATGCGTTGGAAAGATAATGAAGAGATCTACAACTTTTGTCTTTTGACCTTCTTCATATTTTGTGCGAGACAGTCATGACTGTCTCGCATTCCGAGACAGTGAAGTCTGTCTCGCACTTCCGAGACAGTTTGTGTTGTCTCGGGTATTTTGGCTCTAACTCCCTCGTCCGATCTCGGAATGAGATGATCCAAGATGCGTTGGAAAGCTGATGAAGAGATCTACAACTTTCCATAGGCAAAACACTCATAGAGTAGATGAGACACACATGGTACTTCACCCTTTTGTGGATAAAGCAAAAACTCCTGGTTGAGTTGTTCCTTTATCGTTTAGCATGTTTCACAGACTTGTACGCTTCGCCGACTTATTTCGTGTGCTTTTTAGCTTCTCTACAATATCAGATGATCTCCTATGACTCAGATAATCCTCCTTGACTCGGATAGTAACATTTATCATCTTTTTTTTTATCTCGAGCTATATGCGAGAACCTATAGGCAATTTTTTATGCCTACACTACGTAAAGCCAGATTTCTATCCATAAAAAGAACTCTCTATCTATAAAAGCGTCTTAGACTATAAGGGGGTGTTTGGTTCAATTTCTATAAATTATAGGAAATGTTTTCCACCCAAAGTATGATTTTCTTGTATTTCTTAAAAAATATTATAGGAAAAATTTTGAGAAGTCAAAAAGTAACAATTTTCTTATTTTTTTGTACTTTGCTTGGTTGGTTCAAAACAAGAAAATGGCTCATAACTTTATAGAAAATGGGTATGAGACGGGTTTTGTTGATTAAATAAGGAAGGTGCCAGCTTTCCTGTTGATTTCCTCTCATTTTAAGAGGAAATTGCTTTTTGTAAAATTTGATAGTTTTTGATATTTTATAGAAAATATTTCTATAAATTTTTTGTTGAACCAAACACAATTTACAGAAATCTATAGAAAATTTTTAATTACAAAATTGTCATTGTCATATATTTTAAGAAAAGTTTTCTCAAAAAGTGTGCAACCAAACAGCCCCTAAAATTATAACGTCCAACTCTCACCAGAATTTTAGATATCTACAGGATCTTTTGACAGAGATGACAAATTAATGATTTCTTTTATTTTCATATGCTTCAATTCTATATTAACTTAATTCGATGCAGATTGGATGGATTTATGGATCAATGACTGAAGACGTCCTCACTGGACTTATAATACAAGCCAAGGGATGGAGATCGGCATATTTTACACCGGACCCACCAGCATTTCTTGGAAGTGCTCCGACGGGTGGGCCAGCGAGTCTGACCCAATACAAAAGATGGGCCGTGGGCCTACTGGAGATCCTCTTTGATTCCAACAGCCCAGTACTTGCAACGTTATATAAGCACCTTAGCTTTAGACAGTGCCTAGCGTATTTGGTGATTAATACCTGGGCTGTGTCTTCTATATTTGACTTCTGCTATGCTCTCCTCCCCGTATATTGCTTTCTGGCTAATACCAATTTCTTGCCAAAGGTAATATTCTTCAATAAGAAACTACTTTAAAATAAAATTATGCAAAATTTCCTTTTTGCTATTCTTGCAATATAGTGTTCTTTATATTCTCTTCAAAAATTAAAACTGCTTATTTGGGCTTTGCTTTAATTGGGCCTCTAGACTACCTAGATACCTTATATTCTCTTCAAGATTTAAACTAGTTACTTGGATATTGCTTTAATTTAGCTGGGCTTAAAAGGCCTTTGTAATCTAAACAAATTTATGTTTTTCCAATAGTAGATGAACTGTGAAATTTGTTATACACAGGCATCTAGCCCCGAGTTCCTCATCCCGCTAGCAACCTTCACCGTCTTTAACATCACCACCTTCTCCGACTACCTTGAATGCGGCCTCTCAGCTCGTACGTGGTGGAACAACCAGAGAATGGGCAGAATCTACTCTGCATCTTCATTCTTGCTCGCGTTCCTCTCTGTCATCCTCAAAATCCTCGGTCTCTCAGAAACAATCTTTGAAGTCACTCGAAAGGACCAAAATAGTTCGACCGATGAAACAGACGAAGATCGTGGTAGGTTGACATTCGACTCGTCTCCCTTGTTTGTGCCCGGGACCGCACTCGTGATGGTACACATCGCGGGGATGGTCACTGGAGCTATGCGTCTAGTTGCCGGGAGACAACAACGTTGGGGGCTAGGGGAAGTTGTATGCAGTGCGTGGGTGTTGTTAACGTTTTGGCCATTTGTCAGGGGTCTTTTTGGAAAGGGAAACTATGGGATCCCTTGGGCTGTTGTGTGGAAAGCTGTGGCCTTGGGCTTTGTTTTCTTGCAGATTTGTGGATTGGGGCAGAAAAGTTAGATTGTGTATCGTCCCATTTGACGGAGCTTCGGGTTAAAGCTATGTGGTGTGAATGTTGACACCAAAGATTTAAAAAAAAAAAAAATCTTCCACTTTTCCTATCGTTCAACACTTTTGAGTGGAAATTTGTAGATTATTATTAGAACTTAAATACCTTATACACCCTATGATTTATCTTGCTTTACACTTTACGGGTTGGCTTGTTTTTTGCATCACTTACGTGCGTTTTTAAATTTGATTCTTTGTTACCTTCAGTATACAGATCTAAGAATACGTTTTCAAATTTGATTCTTTGTTGCCTTTTGTTATAAAGATGTGGTGAGAATACTTTTCTCAAAATCCTATTCGGCACTCACATACTAATTATAAAATTCTTTAATATTTGATGTTTGTCAACTTACAATTAAACATACACCATCTATTTTTAAACATATCCGGTTTTATTTTTATTTTTTAAATTATAATAATTTAATAAATAAACAATTAATAATATTAAAAAGATCTAAAATTAGCATGTAAGTGTCTCATTTTGGGAGAATATTCTCACATGAGTTATGACAATGTCATCATATTATTATGGTTCGGGTCTAAGACATGTAAAGGCTGTTTTAACGTAATTTATGCAAAGACTGGTAAATATTCAAGTAGTGCTAACAAAAATTCCTTTCTTTATTTTGAAGACTTCTAGCTTTCTCACAGAAACTTGTTTCTATCAGTTTAAGATCGTTTTAATCATATACTTAAAAATCCTCATTTTTATTCCAAGTGTTTCGTGAAGTATTAGCACATATTGGCATACAGCAACATATTACCATGTACAACATACACGCTCATTTGATCATATATGCTTCCAACATTGACACAACCTCTCTCATGCTAGGCCTCTTTTTAGAGGACTCCTCCGTGCACTTATAAGCCACATCCAAGAACCCCTCCACCTCCTCCTCCCTCATCCCCTCCCTCCCCATTATCGGATCAAAACCTCCGCCTAACACGACCAGACTGGGCGTCGGCCCCCGGGCCACCTCACCATCCAAACCCTCCTTCGGCCATCCTGCACCGTCATCGGCCAGCTTCGGCCTCCGCCCCACCTCGCCACCTCGTACATCAATCCGAAACTATACCACATGCGCCCTGTCACCGTCGCACCGTCAAGCCCTCCCTATACTCCGGTGGGATGTATCCGGTGTCCGCCACTTGGCGTCGAAACATGGGTCATATTCCGGACCCGACCGACCCCTCGCCAACCCGAAATCCGCTATCCTCGCCCCGAAATCCGAATCCAGTAACACGTTACTAGCCTTAATGTCCCTATGAATTATACACGGGTTACACTCGTCGTGCAAAAACGCGAGTCCTTTGGCAACCCCGTGTATTATTTTCACCCGGGTGGGCCACGATAACGGGTTCGGATCCTGTTCGTGGATCCACTGATCCAAACTGCCCCGATCGAGGAACTCGTAGATCAGGATCCGATCGGAACCCGATATGCAAAACCCGAGCATTTTCGCGAGGTTTTGGTGTCGGATCCGACCTAGGGTTTCCATCTCGGCGCGAAACTCTCGAAATCCGTGGAAGGCGTCGGCGGAGAGCTTTTTAACGGCGACGGTGACGCCGTTGCGAGAGCTGAGCCTTTGTAGACGAAACCGAACCGCCGTCGCCGATGATGGCGTTCGGCGGGAGAAGTTCCTCGGTGGCGGGCGGAGAGCTCGGCCATGGACGATGTTGGTCGATTGGAGGGTCGAAGCGGAGATGTCGCGAAGGTTGGGGCGTTTGTTATGGGGAGAGATGAGCGGCGTTGCGGTGCAGGCTCTAGGGTTTGGAGATGGGGGTAGGGTTTGGGAGGGCGGCGGCAGAGGAGGCGGAGGAACACGAAGACGGTGCTGATGAAGACAAAGCTGAATATGGCGCCTATTAGGGCTTGGAAGGCGGCGTGCATGATTGGAATTGGGGGAGATTTTAGGGTTAGGGTTTTGGATTGGAGCAGAATTAGGTTTTTTTTTTTTAATTCGGGAATGGAGGAGGGACGAAGGGATGGGGTATTAAGAAGCTCGGCGACGACGACGACTTAAGTCAACTGCCGTGGGTCACTTCTGTTGGTGCCGTTCCGTGTTAGGGGATCTGGTGGCTGTTGACTTCAATTCAGAATGATTATTCTTCGCTAAATATCAGAGAACCCCCCGGCTAATTTGTAACGTCTGTGAGGTGTCCCCGATAGCTTTTAAAACATCAGAAAACCCCCTTACGTATAGCGATTAGCAAAAAAAACCCTTCAAATATAAGATTTACTGAAAAAACTCTTTAATTTTGAGATTATATTAGTAAACCCACCCTAATGTTTTACTCTTTTAGGGGTTTTTTCTAATAAAAATCTCAAATTTAAAGGGGTATACATTTGTGTGTGTACATATAGATATCAGCTAAGCTTAAGGGAGGTATCCTGATATTTTTAAAGTTAACATGATTGACTTATAATTTTTCAATGTACGGAGGATTTAGTAATGGCTGTGACCAAACTTTTTATCCACTCATCTTGTCTCAAGATTTGTGCCATCAAAATATATTCACAAATCTTAAAAAATTCTTCATATCTATCACGGATCTCAATGCAATATCAACGGTTAAAAAAGTTGGTGGATGACTTATTCCTATCCACTTAAGTTGACATTAGGGCTGAGCATGATTCTTCAAAATATGCATTTTCAACCCGAACCGACCGAATATAGTGCAATACTACCCATTCTGATCTCAAACCCTACCCGACCTTTCCCCAAATAGTCAAAAAATCAAACCCTAAACTCATTTTCTGAATCATTATGGGTTGAAATCAATATCATTATATCAGTGTTTAATGCTTCATAATTGTAAAACCCCGAAATCTTTTTATAATGAAATATGTGAATTAATAGTAATAAATATTTCTTTTGTGATAAATAATCATATGTATATATGATTTATATGTCTTTTTGTAATTGAGAACTCATCAAGTGTTTCTATGTGAGAGATATTGAGTGAAATGACCAGCATGTTAAATGCCTAGCAGCAGGCATTTTTCTGCTGCGCGGTCGACCGACGCGGTCGACCGTGGCGGTCGACCGCACAGCGGTCAGAGAGTTTTCAGGTTTGGGTTTTTACGGATTTTTGTTTTGGCCTTATCGGGTTTTGGGTCGGGTTAGGGGATTAGTATACATACTAATCCAACCCAGGAGAGCCTCTCTTCATCTGAAACCAAAACCCTAGCCCCCCCTCTCTTCCCTAAAACCCTAATCCTCTTTGTTTGGTGATTTGGGAGAAGTTCTTGAGGATTTGCAGCAGTTTTTGGTGGGATTCAGCGAAGGGAAACGTTCTCCTTCAGATCCAGAGATCCATTGCTCACCTGAGGCGAGTATCATCTCGCCCAATCCCTCACCCCTATTTTTCTATGGTTTTCTTTTGATTTTTATGCGTTTTTGATGAGCCCAAATGGTATTTTCGTATAAAAATTGAGTTCTCTATAATATGGATTACAAGAATCAATGGTTTTGGGTTATAAAAGTTCACCAATGTTCCGTTTAATAAAGATCTAGATCTAAAATTTGCCTAAACAAGAGATAAATCATTTTTACTGTTTTTAAAACGTTTTTGATTTGTTTCTCATGTATTTAGAATATTGGAAATATAGATTTCAGGCTTGGGATTAGCTGTTTACCTTCTGTAGTATTTTTGAGACATTAGAACTCCTGTTATCGTAGGAGAATTGTCGAATTTCATTTCAGGTTTCAAGCTGACAGAAACCCAGATTTGGGTTTCTGTCCGCTTGGTGGTCGACCGGTGCGGTCGACCGCTGGGCTCGCTGTAGGGGTAGAAATAGTCTACAGTCGACCGCACCGATCGACCGCGACGTTCTGCCGGTCGACCGAAATGCCTACTGGTCGACCGCGACATTCTGCCGGTCGACCGAAATGCCTAGCGGTCGACCACCAAGCTCGTATCAGAGTGCGGTCGACCGAGTCGGTCGACCGCTGCACTGTCTGTTGCAAAATTCCTGTTTTGTGTATTTTGAGTATTTTACTCATGTTCGAGAGTTTGCCTGGATTATCTGACTTTGGTTTTTAGTCTCACTATGTATCCATGCATGATAGATGACCTGAGGGTATAAATTGGGGACTTATACACTATTTTGAGTGTGGATTGATATAAGTAGATTTCACTATATATCACAGCGATATTTTTACTATTCCACAGTCCTCGTGTTGGACTATAATCCATAGAAGTCATCGTGTTGGACTATAATCCATAGAAGTCCTCGTGTTGGACATTTACCACTTATTTTATGAGTTTGGAAACTACAATATATAGTTCATGTTTCGGACATAGTTCTTAACCCTGCCTATGACCTTCTCACAGAAGTTCATGACATGTTAACTGTGTAGATTTTGACATGACACTTGGGTAGATTTTAACATGATATTCATGTAGGCTATGATATGGCACTGCACTTATGTTCTGAGATTAGTGTATTTCTTTTATTATTGTTCATGTACTAGAACCTCGGGTTTGGTAATTAGAGGTTTACAATTTGAGATATAAGGTATATACATGAGGGTTTCCTTGTTTTATCAATATTTCTAAAATTGTAGAAACAACCTCAAAAATTCAAATTAGAAAAAAATCACCCTAAATTCGGTGACTTCAAAACTTACAAACAACATAGTTAGATTTCAAGGATTACCATTAGGCTCTTAAAAACTTAAAATTTATAATAAATAACCTCAAAGTTACATAAACTACAAAAACTCCCTCAAAATTTAAATATCACAAAAATCCTAAAATTACACATGTATAAAGAAGCATGCATAAATAATAAGAAAGTACGCAAATCATCAAGGGAATATATATAATATAAGGTCATAAGAAAGTCTGGTATGTAATATAAATAATAATAATGATGTAAGTGTAACATAAAGAGAGTGAACATATATTAAAAAAAATTACACATGTATAAAGAATCATGCATATAGTAAATAAAATAGTTGATACATATCAAATTATAATATAATACAACATCTAGACCTAGACAAAAATAAAAGTATCTGTCAACATAGTTTAATAACAAAGAAGTCAAAAACGAATATACAATTATAGAAAATATAATATCAACATGATATTATTACCATAGTATCATAAGACAACACATCACGGTGTTAAAATATAATATATAACACTGAATTAGTAA